TGTTTGGAGACATTTAAATGAATGTAAACAGCAATTCACATGGAGAACAAGGGATCGGTCACAAGCTAGCAGGATTGACATGATCTTTATGGGGTCAGATTTTTTACCCCTTGTAGAATTTTGTAAAATTAAACCGGCGGTTATTCGGTCTACTGATCACCAAAGTATATTTCTCAAATTCAAACCAGGGGTAGCAGAAAGGGGCAATGGGTATTGGAAAATAAATATTTCAGTTTTGCAAGATAAAGATTACCAAGAACTGATCAATAATTTGATAGATAAATATGTTTTCGAAAAGGAAACATTAGATTGTAGATTGTTATGGGATGGTTTTAAAATCACGGTAAGGGAAGTAACCACAAATTATTGTAAAAATAAAGCAAAGTTAACCAAGCGGCGAAGAAGTACTTTGGAAAAAGACTAAAAAGAAAAATTAAAAATAAGGGACGAGACGCACATAGATGACAATGAAATAGAAAAAGAAATAAATGATATTGAAGAAGAGCTAAATAAGATATATTAAGAAAAAGTTAAAGGAGCTCAAGTGAGATCTAGAGAAAAATGGGTAGAGTTTGGTGAAAAGATAATTCTTATTTCCTTAGGTTAGAAAAAAGAAGACAAGTAAAAAAAATCGACAAGTTAGCTAAAGTGAGATAATGGGGAAATAATTTCAGATCAAGGGAAACTTCTAAACAAAAATAAAAAATTATTATGAAAATTTGTATAATAAAAAAGTTTAAACAAAGATTTAACAGAAAAATATATTAGTGATACAAAATTAGAAAATAAAGATGAAGAAAATGATAAACTTATATGCGATGGGAAAATTACAGTGGAGGAATGCACACATGGTATCTATAAAATGAAATTAAATAAATCTCCAGATCTTGAAGGACTTACAGTAGAATTTAATAGAATTTTTTTGGAATAAACTTAAATTACTACTGGTAAATGTCTTAAATACAGAATACGATATAAACAGTCTTTCATATTCACAACGTACTAGTATATTAACTTTGATACTCAAAAAGGGGGACCCTTTACTTTTGGAAAACTATCGTCCAATATCTTTTCTAAATATAGATTTTAAAATTCTGTCATATGTTCTTGCGTTTAATAAAGGTACTTCCAAAAACTATAAATGAGGATCAAACTGGTTATGTTAAAAATAGATTTATTGGGGTTTAATCTGAGACAAATACAAGATGTTATACACTACTCAGAAACATACAAAATCGAGGGGGCAATTGTTTTTGTGGATTTAACGAAAGCATTTGATTCGTTAGAATGGAATTTTATGCTTGGAACTTGAAAAATTTTAATTTTAATGAATCATTTATTAAGTGGGTTAAAACTATGTATACAGACGTTCAGAAATGTGTCCTGAATAATGGGAGGGTATCAGAAAATTTCAAAAATTCATGAGGAATTCGACAAGGCTGTCCTTTATCATCTTTATTGTTGGTTTTGGCCGTTTAAATTATGGCTCTAAAATTGAGAAATAGCAACGAAGTAAAAGGAATCACTGTTAAATTAGATGGGAAAAGTCACAGCATTAAGATTTCGCTATTAGCAGATGACACAACTTTATTTTGTAAAGATAGACACGATGTAATATCAACAATGAATGTAATAGAAATCTTTGCCTCGTTTTCAGGTTTATTGATAAATAGAAATAAAACAGAAGGATTATGGATTGGTAAATTAAAACCATGTTAAGATAAAATTTGCGGGAATTAATTGGGGAGATAACCCCATTAAAGTTTTAGGGTGTATTTTGGGCATGATAAAGAGGTATGCAAAAAAATAAATTGGGATTGTAAAATAGAAAAAGTGATAAAAATGTTCAAGACATGGAAAAAAGAAATCTTTCAATTTTAGGGAAAATACTAATTATAAAAGCACTAATCTTGCCTTTATTTACATTCTTGGGAAGCGTTTGCTTAATTCCCGAAAGTTATCTTAAAGAACTAGAAGCTGAAAGCTTTAAATATATTTGGAATGGGAAACCTGACAAAGTAAAAAGAAACCGGATAATATGATATGTAAAAGGGGGTTTACAAATGGTCGATTTTAAAAGTTATTTCATGGGAATATAGACTTGTTAAAGGTAAATCTGCCAACTGGAAGCTTATACCTTTTAAATTTTTAAAGGTGTCTAATACTATTTTGTTTATAATCAACATGAATTTAATGATATAAAACATTAAGAATATTTCAAAAATGTTCCAGATTTTTATAGAGAAGTAACAAAATCCTGGCTTATGACTGGGGGTGGGCAAACATAACAACCAGTTACATATTTTGATATAAGAAAGCAAACAATATGGGGGAATAAATTTATTACATTTCATAATAAACCAATTTATATATCTTTGAAAACTGGATTAAGAGTGGTATAAAATACTTAAATGACATTCTGGATGACACTATGTCATTATCAGAAAACTATATTTTGAAAAAATTGAAGTGTAAGGTAAACATGATTTCTGAATTTCATAAATTGAAAAATCTATTCCACAAAAAAATTGGATAAATATTGTTAAAAAGAAGATTCAGTCAAAAGTACAGTAAATGTCCAAAGAAATAAGATCAAATGGAAATATCGTTATCTTTAGACCACATGTTTTTCAAATAAAATGTTTCATGATTTACTAGTGAACAATAAAAAAGAATCATCAGTAGGGATAAACAGGTGGCTTAAAGTTCTACCAATGCAAGAAGCTCCAAATATGAATTCAGTGTATAACTTTATTTTTAAACATTTAACTGAAAGTAAATTAAAGATCTTCAGATGGAAACTGCTACAGTTTATTGTACCAACAAAAAAGCTTTTATTACAATGGAAAATAACTAACAATAATATGTGTATTTTTTGTAGCCTAGATATGCTAGAAGAAGACTGTATATGCTATTTTTTTTTCTATTGTTCTTTTTTGACAAGATTTTGGCAACAAATATATGATCTCTTAAAAAGAAGTAATATAGATTTTGTAATAAAACTACAACACCTAATATTTGGGTACAAAATCACAGACAACAAGTATTACTCAATAAATTTTTTAATTACAATAATTAGCTTTTCTATATATAAGTCATACTATGTATCTGAGCAGAAAACAAAAAACATAGATGTCTACAGAATTTTTGTGAATGAATATACTAAGAGAGTAGACACCAATATTAATGGCATAAGATAATAAGTCCAATGTTAATAACAATTAAAAGAAACCAATGAATAATTTTCTAGTACTGTTATTCTAGTGTTAACTTAACAAAATGTATATGTCAATAAATCTAATCTGCTGATTATTCCCTGGATAGTCAGTAGAGTGTAACAGGGTACGTCAAAAGAAGCTTGGAATCTTGATGGTTTTTGTAACAAGCAATATTTGATGAATAAAAATATAATGTTGTTAAAAAACAACTTTTGAACCCGCTGCATTTGTTTGCACCTATCCTACGTCAGGAACTTGTTGTTCAGTGGTTGTCTTGTGTTGATGTGGTTCATAAGTGTTTCGTTTCTTGTTTTTCATATAGATTAAATCTTTGGTTTTCCTGTTTGAATTGTTTTAAACTAGTAATTTTTGGGCCCGTTATAGCTTGCTGTTCGGTGTGAGCCAACGCTCCGTGTTGAAGGCCGTTCTTTCACCTATAATTGTTTATATTTTACACATTGTGACTTGGATGGAGAGTTGTCTCATTGGCACTCATACCACAAATTTCTCATTTCTATTACATTTTTACAAGTTAAACCATGTTGACTTATTAAAAGATGATTAAAGGTTAAACTGGAAAGAATATAACTTTTAATGGAAAGTAATTTAATTATTGCGTTTTCCATATAATGAAATGACAAAAAAAAAAAATTTGCGAAACCGATCAGAGATTTTAAAAACAAAATTTGTTTTTCATTGTTGGACATTATATCTTACCTGTAACAAAAGTTAAAGTGGCCCATTTTCTTAAAATAAAAACGATACTTACGTATCCGGTTGATCTGAAATGTAGTTAAAATTTTGTTGTTGAACAAATGCTGTTTATGATAATATTCTTGAAAAAAAAAGTATCTCGTGGAGAACACAAAAAATAAGCAGTGAGAACCAATCTAGGATTCAGATGTTATTTAACACAGAAAAAATTGGAAAATAAAAATTAGCGCATCTCATTCAATAAGAAACAATAGTTTACCCTCAGAAAATTGTGTTGGCTATATTCCAATCGATATAATCAGAAGAATTTAAACTTTTGAAAAATTTACAAGTCTTGCAAAAGAAATTACTTAAATATAGGAAAAATAAGAAAAAAAGCCTACCATGCCAAAATTGCTTAAGTAGAGCGGAATTACAACTATTGAGTTATCATAATACATTTTATGTCGTCTACAGTCTAAATGTGCATAAGTATTTTGCTCTTTGAAACATATGTCATAAAAAGGAATTGTATTTGCCCTATACACAAGCAGGTACAATCAAAGTTGATTTGAGATGGTAAAATAACTATCACCTGTATTGTAACAATATTACCTGTCTTAATCCTTGCAGAGTCTGTAACTATGTCATACATTTGGGTGTCGGAACGATACTGTGAGGAAACTGTTTTATTACTAAAAAAAATATATCATTTAATCAGAGATATTATCATATATAGGTATTTTGTAGCAAACATCACTATCGAAACATGAATTTTCTAAATGCGCCTTTGGTATATCAAAGTTTTTGTTTTTAAATTGAAATTTTATATTCAATGATACACATTTTCACTCCCTCAACTTTCCTTTTGAAGTAGAAGTTACTTAAGAAAAAACTTAGAAATTATCAAAGAGCCAATAAAGAACACATATAAGAGAACGAAAGATACTAATAACAAATTAATAAAACTTCGTCATGAGCATACAATCCTTTCCATCTAATATCGAGCATTTATGTCCCAGAATTTCATAAAATCAAATCTGAAATTCCTTTCTGATAAAATCGTATTTTGGAACATTTTCTATTGGTTTATCCTTAATTAATAAAGTATATAAAATATATAAGAATCAAATTATTGAACATGTAGAAGAACTAAAAAGCAAAAACAAAAACAACAAACTCCGAGAAAAATTCTAAACAGAAAGTCCCTAAGAAATGGCAAAATCAAAAGTTCAAACGAGTGGATAACAACTGCCATATTCTGACTTGGTACATGCATTTACTTATGTAGAAAATGGCGGATTAAACCTGGTTTTATAGCTAGCTTAACCTCTCACTTGTATGACAGTCGCATAAAATTAAATTATATTGACAACGTCGTGTGAACAAAACAAACAGACATAATAGGTAAAAATGTCAAAAATAGGGGTACAGCAGTCAACATTGTGTTATAATCTTAATCATTATAAAAAAAAAAAAAAAATTCAACAAAGAAATATGGGATGCATTATCGCCTCCACTTTGTTTTGTTTTGGAGAGGTGCTTACAAATGTTCCAATTCATGTAGAAGAACATGAAGTATATGGGGAAAAAATCTCTCTATAATGTGATCGTTGTCCTTTATCAGACCTTTATTTAAGAATTTTTGAACAACAGGACGATTTTTTTGGTAAATTGTTGGTGGTATTCCGTCGATAGTAGGCAGACCGTGACATATAATCCGTAAAGTCGTTATCAATAATAAAATATGATGATTATTGCAATGGAGAGAAAAAGAGTGCATTCTCTAATAACTCATTGCTGTATATATCATAAACATTTTTGAAATTTTGTAAAGGAAAAAGGAATTCAATGTTAAGTTGCTATATCTTCAGGTATGCCATGCTAAGCTTTAAAGAGGGAGGAGAAGGATACCAAAGGGACATTGAAACTCATAAGTCGAAAATAAACTGACAACGACATGGCTAAATAAGAAAAAGACAAACAGACAAACAATAGTACACAAAACACAACATAGAAAACTAAAGATTGAGCAACATGAACTCCACCAAAAACTGGGACTGATCTCAAGTGTTACTCGTAGCGTATATCAACCTCGATGTGGACGCAAATAAAATAATTTATATCTATATCAGTGAGTTATTTTCTTTAAGCTCAATAACATAAACACGATTAAGATGGTCACTAGATTTAGAATACTGCATGTGTGAATGTAAGTTATAAAAAATGAAAACAACACTTTATAAAGTTAATGCGTCCGTATTGCTTTTCAGGATTTACCTTCATCAGGAACGCTCAAAGCCGAATATTTGAAAGCCAAGGATGTATAAAACGGAAACAGATGAAGAACTATATAATCAAAAATGACCTAAATGTTATTAGTTTATATCCTTATTATTTTTATGTACTAGTATACATTTATTTACCATGTACCTTTTAGTCTTGATGACTGTTTTTCGTTTGAACAAAAACGAACCTGAAATATTTTCAAAATAAAGTTTATTGATCTTGTTTTCCACTTTAGCTTATTAGACTGTCTTCAAATGTTTTAATATACTCTCATGGAATCTCTGTCTCTCTCTTGACTTTTTTATACTAACGTCATAATGGGTCTTTTGTAAACAAAACAAAAGTATACAATCAGCCTGGTATCTTTTTTTTTTCTTAATGGCAGAACTACATTACATCTCGCTTTATTGGTATATACATGTATATTCTCTGCAATCACTATGTAGAAACAATAAATTTTATGATTTATTATACATTATATTAAAATGCCAGATTTGATGCGTTAATATGAGGGAGATGATTTACTCTATCCCATGGCAAATACTCTATTACCCTTCACAGAGACGTTTGATCGATTGTGCGCTTTATAAGTTACTGATTGTTGTTATGCACAAGACATCATAGTTGATTACCTTACATTTAAATGTTGATAGACAGTAGTAACAGAACATTCATTATAATAAATTAGATAATACATAGTTGAGAGGCTGATACAGCAGCTGCGCCTCGGTTGACAATGTTTTCTCGAGGAAACAATCTGCTCTATCACCCTCTCAACTATGGGTTATTTATCTAATGATCATTGCCCACCCTTTTCTTCTGAAAATGCCTGTTCCAAGTCAGGAATATGATAGCTGTTTTCCATTAGTTTCGTTGCTTAATATAGTCGAGCGATTGGTTTTTGTATTTATCATGCAGCTTTTGGAATAAGAGATCAGTCTATAACAGCTTATTTAACCTTATAAGAGTAGACTGGTGATATCAGGGCATTTTAGATCTCTATAGGAAATGAACTGGTACTTTCTTTTACTCCAGTAGTACTGGTATGTGACTGAAATCAAAGTGTCTTCATATACCACTTATTTTTTATTGCCGTACTATCAAACGTAAACAAAACCATAAGATATTCGTGAAGACGCTTAATTTTTTACAACGGGTGTTTCTCAATTATGAATTAAAACGGTTGTTTGTCGTTACAATTTTTCCATAATTAATTTCTGGATTTTTCGTCTTCAGGAATGTATAGAGGTTAGAAAACATAAACAAAATATTTTTTGATATATATATATATATATTCAGTGAAACAAACAGTAAACGAACAAAACATACTATATTTATAACATAATAATGATATTTACCGACTATGAGCCAAGCTACAATGGTAATAATAGTGGACGATGTTCCCAATGCCACAATTGGAATGGATGCGGACTGAATAGCATTTGGTGTGTTTTCTACAAATCATTTTTCAAAATGTGTTTAGAGAAATTCATTAAAAGAAAATAAGAGTCATTTACATGTACCATCTCATAAGAATGATGTTTTAAGTCCAGTATACCAAGGAAATATGCTCTTTCAAATATCATAATAATTCTGGATAGACAAATGTCAAAAAATACCAATCCTTATTTGATAGAGAAAATCGATCAAGCTCAAAGCTGCGCATCAAAACATTTGGAACTTTGTATTTTCTCATTACAAATGAAAAACAACTTCCGTGTGATTTCTTTAATAATTCTGTGTAAATCGGTCGTTTATATGTGAAAGTACATTTCAGATATGATGATTTAAACAAAAGAAGAGAAAGCTTCGTTTAATACAGAATGATTGAAGCCGATGAAAACCTTTCCGACAACCTGGTTAAAAAGGGAACGATGCATTTATGAGATATTACAATTGCAGGTGAAAAAATCTGTATGTCGATAGAATATTTAACTCCAATAAAAGGAAGGGTTGTTTTATTAAAGCAAAAGGAGTAGTCCTTTGTTTTTCAGAAAGAACCATGCTTGGATGTTACATGTACGTGTACTTTACAAAATTTCATGTGATGTGATCTATTTTACCGCCAAATGTCGTATTTCTGTCAGTTTATTTAATCATAGGTTTGTTTAAACAAGTTGTAGTCTTTGTTATGTTTATTTCGAAATTGCAATATACACATGTAGTCTTACACAGAAAACCGGGATAAAATCACATTTTAATTTTTGTAAGATAAACCACGCTTGTGTTGTAATGAACGTAGTTAGAATCTTAGATTACATAGTTGTATTAGTAATATTCTATTTATGTAACTCAACGTAAATGTACAACAACCATAAGAAAACTTTACGCTTTGCGGTCCATGAATTAAACAAAATATATGAATATGCAAAAATCTAGAAGTCCGATATTGTTTTCTTAGTATTCTTGCCGAGCAATTGTGGCTTAGTAGAAGCAGTTTTTTTAATTTTACAAAATAACAGTCGAAGGAAGGATTTAGATTGTAGAAAGATACATATATAATGATGAGTTAAATGAATTGTTCCTTTATGACTGTACGTGTTCTTTCGTGAAATTTGCTGTTGATGACAGCTGAAGTGCTCATAACTTGAAGCTAATAAACACGGTTGCAATCATATTTTGATATTACGATTGAATCTAATTTTAACTGATGATTCAGCATCTCAAAATGTAAAAATGAAAACAAGGATGTCAGCAGTTCTTTTATAGTACACGAATATACTGAACAACGATTTTGGAATTACATGCTGAACAATATTTTTTTAATATAAGGCATATTGTCCCAATACCTTTTACCTTTACTGAGAGTCTGTGCTGTGATAACTGTTGATGGCAAACTTTTGTTGAAACTGTTTTCCGCTAAAATTCTAACATCATAATAAGTTGACGTTTGTAAACCAGCCAATGTATATAGTAGTTCTTTGTTGCCTGTTTCTTTTGTAATCATTTCTTTGCGAATCCAGGTTGATGAAATGGACAGTTTATATGCTATATGATACACCAGATGCAATTCTCTATCATCCACATGGACCCACTGTATTGTCAAGCTTGAACCTCCAACAGACACCACAGTGATATTTGTAGGCGTTTGTGGAATATCTAAATCAAGAAATAACCAACTTATATCCTAAAAATATTTCGACGAAATTTATTAAATACACAAAATCTAACTGGTCCATAGTCTCAGTTAATTACAAATTTTGACCAATTATAACAGAATTTATTTCAACATCTTTCATTGCCTGATCTTATTAGAAAATGTATTTCAGGCGTAACTGGAAACGTATCGTTTTCAATCTAATCTTTTGGTAAAACTTACGTCCTATTTCTAGAATCAGATTGTGCTCGACTAAGTGTCCTATGCCATTTGACAATTGTAGTTTGTAAACAGCTGCATCTTCAAATCTCAACTCTTTAATAACCAAATTCAGTTTGTACCCATCAAGTTGTACCTCTTTACCATGGAAATCGTCATAAACAATCATCATGTTTTCAGTCATACTGTATTTAGTTGACTGCTTCAGAAGGGTTGTGTTTTTATACCATCTGATTGTGGTATATTTGGGTTCACTATACACGTAAACATTGACATCCACACTTCTTCCGAAAACCCCATTCATTTTCTGGACATTGCCATTTGCGAATACTGGCTGCGCTTTAAGTTGAAAAAGAAAATTCTGATTAACAACATATTACAAGTACTCATTTTGATTTGTTTGTGGATTTCTTAAACATTGTAATGTACTTTTATTATATATAAGTCATGTCATCTTCGAATATCATAATTTATCGCTATGCAAGTGATATGTTGTTCAAAAAACATCAATTGTAGAAGGGGTTTCTTCGGTCTATGCATTTACTGTACATGTTTGCTTTGAGGACCAAAACAAATGTTTTTTAAGTTATTCATCATGACACGTATAGAAATCAAGAGCAATTATTGTACCTATTTTTATAACAAAAAATGTTCGTTGGGGATTAGTTTAGAAATGAGTTTTAAAGTTATATAATACAAATGACATAAACAAAAAGTTATTGCCTGAAACAAAACTATATCAAAATTCTTTTTTTTTTCAAAACAAACAAAATATTGGTTTACCATTTATTTTAACAAATCCATATCCTGATTGTTTTTCTTGTCCATTTGTGCCCAAAATTCCATTTCCAACTGCACACGTATAAATACCACTATCCTGGTAGGCAAATTCCGTTGAAACTTCAGGAAGTACTAATATTCCACTTTGTCCGATTGTCAACTCTTGAATCATAACATCATAATACGACTTATGATAACACTTGAAGTATGTGTATTCACTAGGATTGCCTTTTATACTGCACTGTACATTCCTTACCTTATCTATTTGTAGGAACGTTTTATTTTCTACACTCGCTATTGGTGCATCTAAATACAAATGCATATTTAAAAGGTATTACTAAAAAATGTTTAATTATAGTACTTTGGTAGAATGTTACATTAATATGTTTGAGCAAACAGTCTTTATACAATGTTGAGTTCTTTTTAAATGATGAAGGCATTGTTAAACATTTCAAATATTTTTTCATTTCCAAAGAATTTGACTCTTACCAATTGAAAAAATGAAATTTACTACAGTTGAAAAACTCGCCCTGTTCATGATTCAGGTGGGAACGTTGGGTATCTCTGAAAACTATATAGTTAAGCCCCGTAAAATAATTGTGTGCCTGTTCCGGGTTGTGTGGACAACTGTCTACTGTTTAGACTGTTTTTGACCGAACGATGTCATTCGATAAAATCGTTAATTGAAGTTGAATTTCATAGCAATTATTTTTTTCATACTCTTAATAAAAAACAATGGTAAATTAAATCCAGTATATAGTAACCAACAATTATGTTATACTTTGAATAGAGATGCTAATAAGTTTGAATCTACTTACATTTAATATTGAGCAGTGTGTTTGATGACACATTACTGCTTATAATATTATTGGCTTTACATGTTACCATTTGTCTGTTATAAGTTCTGTCAACATTGAAGGTTAACGTAGATATTACTGTAAACGTTTCTGATGACGAATTTAAGGTTTTAGTTTCTGAAGAGTTTATTGTTACATCCATATTAGTTTGTCCAATAAACCACGTAACATTAGCTGCAGGTCTGCTACCATGAGAAATACAGGAAACATTCAGTGGCATGGTCTCTTCTGTACCTACAGATTTCTGTAGGAATATTGGCGAAAGCGGCTTTACTAAAAATATACGCATTTCATATGTTTTACCTTCCGAATATGTAATGTTTATGATTCCGAAATTGTCACATGTTTGTTCAAAATAATATATTTATATATTAAGTTGTAACAGTTTCAATTCAAGTAAGTATATAGGATATAACACGAGAACGTACATCCGAGTTGTGATATCCAATTTACGGTATAGTCCCCAAATTGTAATATATGGTTGCTACGCATCAATATAACTATATCATATTTACATTAATTTTATTAATCTTGTTTACTAATTTATAAGATATATCAGGGTATCAAATGGGTCTATCATTGAAATCTATATGTTGATTTCAAGGTGTCTTTTTGTTATTTCTGTCGTAAAGATGTTGTATGTCAACTTCTTTTTTTTTTTTTTTTTTACAACATGTATAAATTTATCACAAGTTATAGTTCAGTTTGAAATATTTCTTTTACTTCGGCAACTTAAAAAAGATGTTGTTTAAAGTCTTTGATTACCCACAGTTCTGTAGATTCAAAGTACAATGTGATATATGTAGATATATTTTATTACATATAAAATATTAATTATTATTGTTCATACCAGTTACAGTTAAAATAATAAAATCTGAAATATTACTGGTTTTCTAAAAAAAACTAACAATTTAAGCAAATATCTTACAGGTGAGATACAGCTTCGCTGAATCAACCAGTTTATAATGTGAAATCTCTTCGTTTCCTGCATAACATGTAATTGTCTTTAAATCATATGATCTACTGATTTTTAGCAGTGTATATTGAAGAGACTGTTTGCCGGTAGCAACTGTACTTCCAGCTATCGTCAGTTTCAAATCTGGTTGTGGTTTTCCTCCTACAGCTCTGCAAGTTATTAACAGATCAAGTCCTTCTGTACCTTGCAGTTTGTTATCTTCTAACAAATTATCTATATCCACACTAGATGGATCAACTGGAAAGTCGATAAAGTGAAATCTACACGTTATCTATAGCTAGAAATGTCTGGCTTACATCTAATATTTGGTACATTTGAGTTCACGATTGCATTTTGACACTCCATCATGATATTGAAAAATATATGTGTATTCTAAAGAAGGATCTTGATTATGCTAATCCTTTTTCGGGCACAATTTTTTTCTTTAAATATTTGTTATCCCTTTATTCTCCATTCTGTTAACCCCTTCCAGACCCTCATACAGAATACATCTTAAGATGCAATTAATTAAAACTCACCAATTCAATTTCAAATTATATTTTTCAAAATAAAGACATCCAAATAACCTGTTCATAAAACAGATTGAATACTTTGTCACACCACATCATATATTTTCAATTCAAAACTTTATTTGTTTTATAACAACACAACAATAATAATACAACATTCAAAATGCTTATTCTTGCCGACTCGACTACACAAACTATTGCATTTTATCGTTGAAATTAAGATAATTTTCTTAAGTTCCCTAAGTGGGTTTTATGGGAAAATTTTAATTAATAGTAGACATCATCATAACAACATGAACATGCAAGCTCTGTTTTGTTCTGAGAACCATTTGGTAATAATTCATCAAACCAAGCTTGTTTTTATTTTATTATTTGTAATGTGTGTTCCTCTGGTGGTATAGGAGATTAAGGACAAAACAAAAATAAGCCAGACTGAGCATTTAGACTAAGAACCTCTTTAATCGGTAGACATGAATAATTGCTTTTCTAATAGCTAAAATAGTTATCTCTTAATTAGTAAACGTCGTAGACATCGGCGGATAACGTTTGATTTGCTTTCAACAATACAGGAGTAAGCGAGATAAAATAAAAAATTATATTACTGGTCTACGTTAGTGTAAATATCAAAAAGAATTCTCCCTTAAATATCTTGGTGTCTTCTTTGTTGTTTTGTTATAAATATTTGTATGCATGTAAACGAAATATATAAATTGTAACTACACAGTTACTGTATTGCAATAATAAAATGACTTACCAATAACAGTCAGTTGTTGTCTGTATACTATTGCATTACCAGTAACTACACACTCATACCTTCCATCATCACTTTCTTTAAGCTCATATATACTCAAGTGATATTCCCCAATTGTATGATTACCAGTAATATGTATTCTCTTGTGGAGATCTGATTGTAAACTTGGATTTATTACCGAATTTTGAGAATAAATTATAGAATAAGAGCCAGATCTGAAATACCAGTTCAATTTTCTCGTTTCTGTAACAGTTTCAGGACACTCCAATTGTACTGTAGAACCCTTCAGAGAAGACAATCCATGTGATAGCGCTAGAAAACGATATTGCTAGAATGTATTGTACCATTAGAGCAAATGCTTTTCTTGTCATCATATGAAACATGTCTCTAAATCGAGAATGTTTTTTAAATGATAATTACTGTTTCATTGAATTTGGTGTGCACTAGCTTAAAATATAGCGGTAGTATTTTTCCTCAATAGGCAATAATACTTACATTTTCTAAATTTGTCACTTTTTATGATAAAAACCAGGACAAACAGTTAAGCAATATATAAAAATTATAAATGTATTGTTATGAGTTACAATTTATGACTATAATCAGCAAAGACCCATCGAAACAACATCTGATTCAAAAATTTGATAACACATTTAGATATTTAGATGATATATTGGCTCTCAATAATGACGACTTCAGTATGTACACTAAAGATCTGAAATGTAGGTAAAATCCTTTTGGAAACCAGACCCGTTCAGGTCAGAATTCTTTGGAAAATAAAAAATAAAATCTCATGGAGAACACAAGAAAGAGGAAGTGAAAACCAATTAATGATTTTGAAGTATTTAAGCTCAAATAAAGTTTGGAAATTAAAAATAAAAACAATTTTAAATGTCATTAAAAGAGGGTTTTGATTTTACGCTCCGAAAAATTCCACTGGTTACGTTCTAATCGATATATTCAGGGGGAAAAAATTAACCTTGAAAATTTACAAGGCATGCAAAAGACTTTGCTTGAAAATAGGAAAGATAAGACAAACCTATGAAATGCTAAAACTGCAGTAAAGTAGAGCGAATTACAACCATTAAATTGTTTTCTCTAATTTTCATGCTATTTTCACATTTCCCGATGGGTGTGAGAAAAATGTTTCTCATATCTAGAGAAAACTTTGTTCTCGGCAAATGATTGGTCGAAATTCAATTATGGCGTCAAATTTTCTTGATTTCTTTTAAAGTTCCTACTGTGACGTCAGGAAAAAAGGCCAAATATCGTAACACACTTGATGCAGTGGTGGAATCTATATATAATACATTCTATGCCATTCTGAACAGATATATCATGTTATGGAGGGGTATTTGCGAAAAATACCAGTCAAGGGACTGTGAAATTTCCCAAGCCGCTAGGCGAGGGAAATTCAGTCCCAAGACTGGTATTTTTCGCAAATACCCCTCCATAACATGATAT